ACCGCACCGTGACGTCACTGCTGGAAGATGGCAGGAGGGAGGGGCTACTATATTTGGGGGAAAATGGCCGCTCCCAGATCGCCATGAAAATTATTATTCTATTTTTCTTACTGATTAACGCTAAATTAATTAAATCACTTATCGCATATTAGTTTAGTATGGAAGAAAAACAGCCTCATTTTTTGATGAGTGAATTTTGAACAATTTTTTAACAAATTAATTTCCTTGCTCTGAATTTTTATCTGGTAAAAAATCAGCTGTAAAAAGTGTCTGGAGTTCACCAAAGGTAAACACATTTGCAGTCGAAATTTTTACACTGAATTTTTACCAGAAAAAAATTCAGTGTTTAAAATTTAGTGTTAAAACTTAAGCAGATTCCAATGAGCCTGTTTTCCTTCCATACTTTAGGTATAAATATTGATCCATTCATCATTTCTCGCTGACCGGACGTCTTTAACAGGCGAACAATAATGGTTCCTTCATCAGGAACAGCCACTGGTCGCCGTTCCTCTGATTCAACCCAAACATCTGCATACAGAGGCGAGAAGAGGGGGGGTTTACCCAGAGAGGCGTAGGATCCTGGGGGGAGGGCGGCCGCAGAGCTGAACGGCGAGGAGGCGGGGACGCTGGACAGGCGGGACTTGGCGCTGGAGGCGGCGTTCACGTCGATGTCGCTGCGGGAGCGCTGCAGGGACCCCGGTGTGGAGGAAACCCTGGTACCCACCAGTTTACCTGGAGGGGGAGAGAGAGAGATGTTTACAGGTGATGGGGGGGGGACCTCTCTGATGTCTGGGCCTCCATCATCTTCTAGAAAGGTCTATGAAGGACCCTTCAGGCTCTCTGGAGCTCCTCCAGGAGGTCCAGGAAAGCTTCAGGGTTTTTAACAGGCTTGGCCCAGATTCAGCTAAAGGTTCTGAGGCTTTAGAAGTTCTGGACGGGCTCGGTCCAAACACACTTACTTCTTGAAATGCTGCCTCCAATCAGACTCTTCACAGATAACGGTCGGCTGGAACAAAGCAGACATGGAAGTTAGTTCAGGTGGAAGAACATTCTCCAGGATCCAGATTAAACATCTCAGTTTCTAAACTAATAGACAGCAGGTTAATGAGGAGGGGAGCAGGAAGGAGCTGCTTACTTCAGGCTCTCCTGGGAGGAAGAGGAGGAGCGGTCCGACTGAGGCAGAGACACCACGCTGTCCGAGCTCCTCAGGTGAGACTGGAGCGCCTTCTGATAGGTGGACTCCAGCGCCTGGAACAGAAGCTCCGCCTCACGGCTGTAGTGGCCATGGAAACCCCAGTAACACCTGACACAGGTAGACCAGTTAACCAACAGGTAGACCAGTTAACCAACAGGTAGAACAGTTAAAGACAGGCAAATTGTTTAACAGAGATCTAAACCAGTTAACTATTATGTTAATAAGTTGACTTAAAGGTCAATTGCTCAGCTAACACTTTTAAACTGAGATGTAGACCAGAACCTGAAACAGCTAAACCAGTTAACTAACAGATGAACCAGTTAACCCACAGATAAACCAGTTAACCAACAGATGAACCAGTTAACCCACAGATAAACCAGTTAACCAACAGATGAACCAGTTACCTAACAACCAAACCAGTTAAC